TATCACTACTAAAATCCTTATCTTCAGCAACATGGCTTTGGTTGCTAAAAGTTTTGTTGGAGAAGACTTGGTGGGTAATACATTACCAACCAAAATTTTGTTGCTGATGTATTAGCAATATAAGTTACGTTGCTGAAAATATAATATCAACAACGTAACTTATGTTGCTGAAAACATTCATTGGAATCCGGTGAGAGTGGGTGGTGAATTTTCTCACCCTCTTCAGCAACATAAGTCATGTTGCTAAAGATAGGGTTTTAGTAACGTGGCTCATGTTGCTAAAAATTGGGAGGAATATGGTCAGAATATGACATCGAAATTTTACCTAATTTTCAACAAGAAAAGCCATGTTACTGAAATCATATTTTCAATAATGTGGCTTGTGTTGGTAAAAGTTGAGGGAGAGTGGTTTCCCACTTTTCAGCAACATACCCCTTGTGGGTGATGTATCAGAATACCTAATTAAAAAAATTAAAAAATATTTATTAATTAGATACATTAATCAATTTTTAACTTAATAAATGTATATTAATTAAAAAACTTAAGTTAATTAATTTTTATGGTCTAATTAAGTATCTTACTAAACTTGAATATTTTATTTTATTAATAATTACATACAAAACAAAATAACAAAATTAAATTAATTACTATATATAATTATTTATAAATATATTAACTTTCAAATAAATTGATACCTAATTAATTAATAATGTAATATTTACAAAAATATTTCATACAATATGCTTCAAGGGAATTAACAAAAAAAAAAAAACAAAGGCTGAGAGTTATGGATTCGGAGGTTTGGATGAGAGGCGGCACGCATAGATCATCAGATGATATAGTGCAACATATAGGAGAAGGAGGCGGAGAGAACTGTAGAACGTCGCCTGGAGATGGCTGAGGATATTGTAGCACGCAAGAGAAGGAGCTAGGTGGAGACAATTGCATGCAGAACATGTACATGGAGATGGTTGAGGATGGTGCAACATGCAAGAGAAGGAAGTGGAGAGAATTGCGAAACGCATGGAGATGGTTGAGGATAAACCAGCACGCATGAGAATGAGGTGGAGACAATTGCAGAACACATGGAGATGGCTGAGGATAGTGCAACACAAAGGAGAAAAGGAGTTGGACAGATCTATAGAATGCATGGAAATGGCTGAGGGTAGGGGTATATGAAGAACTTTAAGCAACATAAAGTATGTTGCTGAAAGTTTATCACACTATCAGCATCATGCTCCATGTTG